TGAAATGTTAAGGTCTGAATAATTCTGAGCATTACTTGGAAAACATAATGCTAATCACGTTTAAGTCGTAAGTAAACATTAAACTATTAGGCAAGCAATGGAATATAGGCTTTGTAGAAAATCATTTGTGAAAACCAAAACATCATATCACTCCACATTTTGTGTTGTCCAACAGCTTGTTTCAAAACTGGCAAGTAAAGTAGTCATTTAAATTGAATATCATAAGCATAAAACTCCAAAAATGATCCTTAAAACGTGGTAAGTTATCCTTTGTTTTCACAAAATTGTCGTGAGAGCCAATCCTTGACCGGTATTGTTCAATTGAGATTCCCATACTTAATTAATTGTTGTTCTGAAATTATGCCTCCATGAATTCTCAATAGTGCAAGGTGAATGCAACTACAACACAACTTATTTCACTTTATGGCACTTTCAGGAGGCCTCAGACACTTTCAAACACTTTCAGACACTCAGTGGTGCAACCCGCACCGATAGATCAAACCAATAGTTGCAATTGGCTTGCAAGTGTGCAATGACTCTTTTCAGTGTAGTACAACCCGTACCGAAAATTCAAGCAGTTAAATGTTGTCTTTTAAGAGCATTAAAGCTATTGTACAAGCTGTAGTTATAACACAAGCCAGGTCTGGGTGTGTTGATTTGTGTGAAGAGCACTAACTTATGATATGATCACCAGAAAAAAATTATGGGAGACCATGCTTATAACCAAGATGGCTGACTCAGACTTGTGCACCATACAACACTAGACCACGTGACAGGTGCTCAACTCTCGTGGACAAATAAATAAATTAAACCAGATCATACCATATGTGACTATGCACTTTGTGTAAGCCACATAAAAACGATAAACAGAATTACAGCTGCTGTAGGTAGCTTTGTCAAGTAAGGGTTGATGTTAGGGTAATGCTTAGTGTTATATGATGCAATGTTTTCTTTTTTTGTTATAAAGCTGTATTTAGATTATTTATTTTTGTGGGTAGTAATGTTTTTGCCCATTTGTTGTCTTCTCTCAGGTCTTCTCAGTTTTCTTGAGGCACAAAAGATGTCTCCCAATTTTCCAGAATGTAAAGTTATGGGAAATGCTGCCAGTCAGTTAAAAAAAAATATAAATTTCTTCCTAAAAGAAGATGCTGCATGCCAACGAAACATCCATTGTACAGGTACAGAGTTGAAATCTTATAGCTATTATGAATCATACTTTGCTAATTTTGAATACATGGTAAAATTAACACATTTTATAGTGATGTTTTTTTGTTGTTGTCTTTTTTGGTCTTTTGGTTGTTAAGGGCAAAATACACTGTCCTTGATTTGTTGCTCTTTCGTCAAATAATAGGAGAACCCAAAAATTAAATTTTTGGAGTATTGGAACAAATTGTCTCTTAAATTCGAAGTACTGGAACTCTGCATAGTGTCTATGGAACAGTTTTAGATATTTTTAAATGAAAAATTTAATCGTTGGTCTCATGATGTGGTCACTTCCAGTGTGGATAGTGACATTTTGATTGCACACCGCTAGTCTTTAGGTGATGAGGTCAATAGTTTTCATTATAGTAATGTAAATTATCATAATTAGTGAAACAATCAAGAATAGGAAGCAGCTTGGAACAGCTTATTTATTCATCCAGCAATTGTTCCTGACTGATCACCACCAACAATCTCTAGTTAAGGGAACCTCCACAATTGGAAACAAATTGTTTTTGAGTTATCAGAAGTGATTTTCTTTTTTTCACACATGAGTGGTAATGAAGTATTGGTTACCAAAGTATTTATTGTAAGAAAAATTATCAAACAAATATCTGATATTTCCAAACTAGAATTTGTGTGGGCCATCAGTTTGGATCAATTTAAAAGTTATGGTTACCACTAGGCAGGCATCTGTGTAGGATAAGGGATTTAAACATCAGTAATGCTCATATTTGTTTCTAGTTTTAATTCATTTTCATCTGTTTTCCTCTTTTTTCTAACAAATCTGTGAAATATAAGACACTTTGAGTTCATGAATCAGCAGCCTGTTTCATCATTTAAGATCTCCTTGAAGATTGAACTCACCCTCTCCATTACTTATTTTAATTATTTCTTAGAGATCTTGAGGTGTTTGTTTAAGGATTTGTACCAAGTACTGGAGCAGAAACAATAGAACATGGGTCCCCTATGAGGCGTAAGCTCCAACAAACCCACACATCTCACCCTGGGGGAGGACATCCATCACACAGTAATCTCGTGCATGGGAAATTAATGTCTCCTACCCCTAACCCTACAGGAGACGGGACCTCCATTTATTACAGNTAAAAGCACACACAACCCACAATTCCTCTATTCGCTCCGACGAAGGGCTAACGCTCGAAACGTCAGCCTTTGTAATCATTACGATGGCTAATTTACCATTTCAACTTTGTTGATATATCCAAATTATTTCATTACTCCCACCGTCGCAGCCCCAAACAGTTTCTTTCGAAACTATCAGCCATTATTGTTTCGTTGTAAGTCGTGAAATGTCAACTTTGTCTGACAATGAATTGTCCCAGAAATCATCTAAAGCTTCTGTGGATAGTTTTGCGCCAGCAAGCGATGAATATTTGCCATGCGAATAAAGATAAATTCGGAGCGGCACAGACTCCCCATGTAGCTTTTGTGGTCACATTGCTATATCACCTTCGAATTGTATTTTTGCTTGTTGTAAGGGATTTTCCTTTTTTGTAAGAAATAATCAAGTGATATATAAAAATTGTTTACAGCAAATGGCTGATTGTGTATCAAGGTGGATATTGGGAGTTTGTGAAAGCCACTTCTAAGCCATTAAATAAATGTGTTTGCCCTGATGCATTTGGTCAATGATCTCACTAACCCTTTCCTGCATGTTTTTCACTATTGGTGCTTTGAGAGATTTGAAGTGAACTCTGTTGTTGAGTTGCACTTTGGCCTCTTTTGTTTTTTCTGTCTCATTCATGATGACTATTGTTGTGTTGCTTGGGTGAGGTTTAAAGCAGAGTTTTTTTCAACTCTTTTAGAGACGTGACCTCATTGTGTTACAAAGTATTTTTTGGCTTTGATGCAGTCTGCAAGTTGTGTTATGACATTTTTCCAAGTAGCTCTGAAGGGCAATAGAAGACTGAACCGGTGGCATTCAGTTTGTTATGAAACGGGAGTGGTTCTTTGTTTTGTCTGTGAAAGATGTAACGGAGGCGCATTCGTCTTGCAAATAAATCTCGCAAAAGTTGGCCTGATTTCACATTCTTTTGTCACGGGTGTTGGGATGAATTTGAGACCCTTTGATAGCACATTGATGTGGCTGTCAGATGGTTGATAGTTTGAGTGGTTTTTAAAGAAATTTTCATTTTCTCAGTTCTTTGGCTGCAAGCCTACATTTTAAAGTGTTTCTATGCTCTATGTGTCTTAAGCTGATTGTTCTTCTTTTTCTGATATTAAAGCCAGCTTTTTTTAGAGTCAGAGCACACAATTATATTTTTCATCTCTTTTTTATAAAAGTGAGCTCTTTGAGGTCAGAAATCTCATTCCTCAACTTGGCTATTTTATCATTCGTATTTACAATGTTCCCCGAGTACTTTCCTTTGTGTAAGGTATTCTGCCAGAGGGTTGTTAAAGGTGGATATTGATCAGCGCATATGTAAAGATGACAAAACCCATGGAGGTTCGTAGACTTCACTTTCGTCGAGGTCGCACTGAGGACGGTTTTTCTTGTCCCTTCTTTTATACTGTGGGTACTGAACCTGACAGAATTCTTTGCCTAGACCCTTCAAAGTACACAGATCTCTCGAAACAGTCATCCGAGAAGTGTTCGGAGTAGATCAGAAATATTCCTGCAGCTTTGAATTAGGCATCGATGCCTTGTCATTTTTGTTTAGTTTTTGTAAGAATAGAGTAAAGCACTCTGTTATGTATGCTTGACATTTTGCCATGTGAGATTTTTGCATTGAGCCTTTGATGTCACTTCTTCTGAGTCACGTGTGATCAACTTCCAGACCATGTTCAAATAATGGCAGATGCAAAATGGTGAATTTAATGGCCCAAAAAAAGATATTTCTGGTGCTCGGTGTAGACTGAAATTTGGCAGAGTAGGCGAAGGAGACACACTAAACATGAAAATAAAAAAAATGATGTATGAGGCAAACATGTAGTGGAAACCCTGTGTTGCTTCAGATTGAGAGAACAATTTCTGTTAATTTTTGAGGTTGATATTTTATCACCCATCCTCTCAGATCAAGGCCTAGTTGGTTGCATCAACTTGTTTTTTTCCTTTATGTTGTAGTAACAAACTGTTACCAGTTTAAAGAGCAAAACTTAATTGAAATGACCATTTAACTCCGGAGATCTGATTGTTAATTCTCTCCTCTAGCTCCTACAATTCTTTTTGTAAATTACTCAGGACAATTTGGTGTTAGATCAAAGTAACAACTTTCACCTGATAATTTTGAGTATTTTCATGACCTTTTTGTTAGATCAAGTGTAGATATTTTAAGGAGAAGTTGCGGTGATCCTCAATGCTTGAGACATAGGTTAACTCAACAAAATGCATTTTAATAAGAACTATGATTTTCATTTTAGTTAAAGCAGCGAAAGTGTACCCAGAGCGTAAGTCATTTTAGAGCTGGCAATACAATAAGTCTGTGGTATTTACCTGTGAACATGATGGTGCTTCTCATTAATATTGCTGCAGAAGTTACATGTTAATCATTATTTTATGGCAGACAAAGGATTAAACACTGACAGTGTTTATTTCTAACTTCGCATTTTTGCTTTAGTGGTTAGATGAGGTGGACATTTGATGGGGTGTAGGGGATTTTGGGAGAAAATAACCTTTGTTGCAATACTTTCCATACCCCAAGACAAATACAAAAAAGAATTTCTCTCTTCATAACAATAATGTTACTAATTCAGAAGCAATGAACTCATTTGGTTGGAAGATTTAAAACTTGTTGGAATGCATAGATTGATAATAGCTGGCCTTACAAATAATTTTATGCGCTCTTTGCCACAGGTTGGTTGGAAAGCATGCCTGAGTGCTTTTAGTTGTACTAATCAGGGAAAAATACTGGACAAGACATTTTGTGTGAAAATGGAAAGCTGTCCAGGTACTAGTGTTTATTTTATGGTGACTTGTATGTTGGTTTTGTTAGGTTCAGACAGTAGATGTGGCAAAAAGAACAACTATTGCAGACAGTTGATTTTGAAAATGTGATATGGCTTTTCACTGCCTGCTTAGTCTTCATCAGACAGTAGATGTGGCAAAAAGAACAACTATTACAGACAGTTGGTTTTGAAAATGTGATGTGGCTTTTCACTGCCTGTTTAGTCTTCATCAGACAGTAGATGTGGCAAAAAGAACAACTATTACAGACAGTTGGTTTTGAAAATGTGATGTGGCTTTTCACTGCCTGTTTAGTCTTCATTGACCTTCACTTTAAATGACTGTATGATTATTTTGATAAATGGAAGGCAAAAAAATATGATCAAATCATCTAAAAAAATGGTTGAAAATGTAAAAACCAGGCATGACTATTGAACCACGAGAGATAATTAAATCAAACCAAAATTGGCATCCATAAATTGCTACTGATATGTGTGATAGCATGGGGGCGCAGTGGCCTCGTGGTTGGTGTGCTTGACTCCAGATTGAGTGGTCTGGGGTCTAACCTCAGCCGGGACATTGTGTTGTGTTCTAAGGCAAGACACTTTACTCTCATAGTGCCTCTCTCCACCCAGGTGTTTAAATGGGTACCGGCAATTTATGCTGGGGGGTAACCCTGCGATGGACTGGCATCCCATCTAGGGGGGAGTAGAAATACCCCTAGTCGCTTCATGCTACAGAAACCGGAGTTAAGCACCGGCCTAATGGGCCACTAGGCTCTTAAAAAGACTTTACCATGTGTGATAGCAGTTTTTTTTTCTTTTTCAACCCATAGCTCTAGAGTTTGCCTACTGAAAGTAACTGTTATGGAGCAGTGAAAGTTTTTTGAGGAAATGTAGAAATAAAAGTTAAGCTTATAAGTAAAACAGTCAGCTTTTCCTTTTTATTTTCATTACTACAAAATGTGGAATTGATGGAATGATGTGATTAAAAAAGAAAGCCATGAACCAAAAGATCATCAAAAGCTTCTTAACTCTTGAAACCTTTAGAGTGACCATTATCTCACTTCTTATATGACAATGCTACAGGCAGCCCAAGCACACTGTGTGTGATTTTGGGGTCTGAAGTTTGTTACTGGGAATACCCAACATAATTTATTAGGATCGATTTTTAAGCGTAAGCGCAAGTGTGGGCCATCAGAAAGGGGAAAAATTATTTTAAAAAAATTAAGTGAAATAAAAAAGGATATTAAAGGCAAGGAATGTAATGTGTGAAGTCTCATTACCTTCTTTTCGTAGCTGCTCCGTCGCTCACAGTCATTTTAATGCTGTTTTGGTGACTTTCTTTGGGTCACTTAAAGACAATTCTACAAAAGTCAACCAATCTCCCTCAAATTTCCACCCACAAGAGTGCTTTGCCGATACCTATGTGTTTGAGCAGCAAAAGTTTCCTCGTGTTCCAAAGAACATGGCCAAAACAGCATTAAAACAACCATAAGCAACAAAGCAGCTACAGGAAACAGATAAGGACACTTCATACGTTATAGTCCTCACTTTTATTATCCTTTTTAATTTGTCTTTATTTTTATGATTTTTCCTTTTTTCAACAGCCCATGCTTCCAATTAAAATTCAACTGTAGTATGTTAGGTACTCCTGTTAATGAACTTTAGACCCCAAAATCATACATGGTACACTTGGGCTGCCTGTGGTGATACTTAGTCTACTGATTGCTTTATTAAGGTTGTGAGAATAAAGGAAATGATCACCAACCCAAGAAGCTTTGATAGTTAAAAAAATGTTTGCTTGTCAAGCACCAAAGGAAATATACAGAGAAGATTATGGAGAATATGGATACTGATCTTAACTTCATTTATTTCTCAGATTTCAATGCAAGCACAACTCATTACAAGCCATGTCGTGCCACACCCGGACCAACAGGTTTGTCACTACTGTTACTGACAGTAGTTTTATAGTTTCCAGTTCTATTCAATGTGACAGTCTACACAAGGCCACAAAATGTTACTTATGTACATGACCTGCATTTAGAGCTTATTAGAATAGCTCTTAGGCACAATTGGATCATGTGATGAAGATTTGTCCACCTCATTGTAGTTGTAATCAATGCTTTAATTTATTTTTAACCTAACAGTTTGCTATATGACTGCATGCCAAAGGCAGGTTGCTCAAAGTCTTTCCCTTATTTAACAAATAAATTATTGAAATTAAGATAGTCATTTACTCCTTTTTTCAAGAGGGTGAAATTAGTTATCTTCAGTAGTAGAAAACTGGAAATGGTTAAAAGCTATTTATGAAGAAAGTGAGTGAATTTTTCAGAGAGCTGGGTGTAGTGTCGCAAAGTCTTTACATGTAATGGAACAGACTCCAATATACAAGAAGAGTTTACACCGAAAGTAGTCAGATCCAACGTATCTAAAACGTCCTTAGGCTTAGCAGCCAAGCCTGCAATATCCATGGATACCCGGATATAACATCCCATCCTAACCTATTTAAAGTTCAAAGTCCACTCTAACAACGCAACTTAACATAGAAGAACTAAAACAATGTTCTAGTCATAAACAAAGTCAGCATCTCTCTTTGGCTTTGGTGTTCGAGTTGAACGTCTCAATTCCATTGCTGAGTCGGGAGGACCACTATCTGCGGGATTCCTATCATCCGAGACTGTAGATCCGAGTTGATCCAAAGGAGGCATCGCTGCCCCAGCGAACTCTTCCGACTCCAAGCAGCCGTTGTCATTGTCATCATTAACTGGTAGCTCCATGCGTGGAACTCTACTAAGAAACTTCACATTACGAGTGAGATGTTGTCCAGTCTCAGCATTGACAAGTTCAAAAGTATCTGGTCCTTTGCTACGAACAATGACATACTTCTGATGACCAAACGTGGGAATCAATTTTCCAGATTTTGTATTTGCTACAAATACAATATCCCCAGGTACTAGGTTATGTTGTTGTGCATGTCGCTTGGCATCAGTATACTCACATAACTTCCTCTGGTATTCCTTGTACCTCTCTTCAGGGTTGTTCTGATCCATTTCTGGTACTGTTGGCAACTTTGTTGTTATCTCTCTGTTGTTCTTTGCAGATTCCGGGGTCATGTTAGTCCCGGCATGTGGAGTGGATCTGTAAACTTGCAGGATTGTGGGCAGAACCTCTGTCCAGGATAGACCATCTAACTCTGCTGCTCTGATACTGTGCTTTAGGTACCTATGAAATCTTTCGACCTGCCCATTTGCTTGTGGAAAATAGGGTGATACTCTTCTGTGCTGTATTCCATTTGCCTTCATGAAGTCTTGGAATTCCTCAGCTACGAACTGACGTCCATTGTCCGTGATCAGAACTTTTGGATTTCCAAATCGTGCAAATATATCTGCAAGTGCAGTGACTATACTCTCACTTGTAATACGCTTAAGAACAATAGCCTCGGGCCATTTGCTTCTGTAATCAACAACAGTCATGATGTAGATCTCTCCCGGAAATGGACCCACCAGGTCAAGGGCACACTTCTCCCAGCAGTAATCGGGAAGAGGAGTTGCTGTATTAGGTGTGTCTCGTCGTAGTGGCTGAAGGCGCACACATGTCTCGCAATTTCGGCAGTAGTCTTCAATGTCAGAGTCCATCCCCGACCAGAACAGAATTGTTCAAATTACTATTTGTTCGAATTGTTCAAATTACTATTTGTAATATAAATAATTGTTTAAATATCATTTAAACAATTATTTATATTACAAATAGTAATTTGAGTAATCCTAGGAATTCAGACCAACATACTCCCCTCTCCAATATGTTAAGGAATTGCTTAGAGATTTTTATTAGGATTTGAAGTTACATCTAAAATCCTGTTCATAACTTTCAACAAAGAAGATTTCAAAATTCATGCAGTTTTAGTAGACCCTAAAGTTTATTATTTTAACCACCTCCAATGCAATTTCAAAAAAGATCGTGCAAATTACCACTTTCAAGTTAATTTTCTGTTGGCACTTTTGATATTATTTAATGTGTAACTGAGAAATTTGTCTGTTCTGGGCTCTTGAAAAAAAAAAAAAGATATGTTTTTCTTCTTTTTCCTTTTTAAAAAAACAAAAACTCACAGTTTATATTATAAAACTCTTTTAAAACAGCTGCTTATTTTCTTACTTATACATGCCATACCTGAGGCCTAAATAATTTGATTACAGTGTAGGCATATGTTCCAATAAAAAAATTAAGGCCCAGGTCAATATATTGTGGGGAATGTGATGTTCATTGCTGTGGCGACACAATTGATGCCAATGCTATCAATGCTATCCCATCCATGTACACAAAATAAGTGCAGTTGGATGGAACAGATTTTGTAGAGCAGAAAAACATAGAGCCTTGGAAAATGTTATTGCATGGGAACAAAGAGTTGACCTTGAATGTGCTTGAGTAAATAAATTTCGCTTCCTTGGATATTACATATGGGTTGAAAAGATCTTTTGATTTGTTTATGGCATGTACCTAGGTCTTCCCTCAGGTTCCTCAGGTTCCACAGAAGCTGAACCAGGGAAAAAGCCTTCAACAGGTTAAGGAGCATTAGCTTTGATGCTGTTTTCAGAATTTACTAACTGTCCTTTAGGATGATATTGATCATAGTCTGCATTCAATGTGCACTTTCAATTTTTGGCCCTCTTTTCAATCAGAAGCCTATGTCCTTCCCTTCATTGCGACATTCTTTTGAGGACACATACTTAATATAAAAATATGTTTTTTGCACTCCAGTAGGATGGGGTTGGGTCCTTGATTGAGGTTTTCATTGCCTTGTTTTTCCTTTATCTCCCCTCCTGTACCACTTTTATTTAATAAGTATGCTTTTCAGATACTGCTTTCCCATCACTAGGGTGAAAAGTACTTTGATAGTTCATCTTTGCCAGGGTGAAATGATTGCTGTCTTGTATTTTCATTCATTCTTTCAAGCCATCAAAATTTCTTTTATAAGTGAAACAGCAATGCACCAGAGTACTACCCTTAAGCAGGTAGATGATAATATTTTCATGAATTGCTTAGAGATTTCTAGTAGGATTTGAAGTCACATCTAAAGTTATATCAGGGTTGTCATTAGAAGCCGGTAGGTGGCGGAAATCCGCCGGCTGTTAGACCATTTTGCGCCGGCTACTTTGTGAAGCAGAATTTTTGTAATAATTTGGATATATCCACAAAGTTGAAATGGTAAATTGGCCACCGTAACGATTACAAAAGCTGACGTTTCGAGCGTTAGCCCTTCGTCGGAGCGAAAGAATTTTTGTAATATTGAGATCTGTCTTCCCAAGAAATCTTTCTTTTTGTAAATCTGAAGCTTAGTTTAGTGATCATTCTCTTGTATACTCCTGATGTTATGGAAGACAGAAAAACCTAAAAACCTATACAGGAAATACTGTACAAAAACTATCAGTGGTACAGCTAACTAACGAGTAACATGAAATGCGTGACTTAGCGAAGCACGAAACTGATCGCAATTCACACGTGCGTTGATGCTTCGAAAATCGAAAATGGATGGCCAGCGAAGAAAGCGATCTCTTCAAGATTACTTTTCAGGTCAATCGAAGAAGAGGAAATCTAGCAAAAACGAGGCCAGGCCACCAAGGTAAGAAGGAGTTTCGATTGCTGTCAAATATCATAATTACGAAGCTCACCGAGGCATTTAATAACACAGATATATCTCATTTAAATATAATGGCAAATTATTGCCGATCAACTACATACTTTCAAAAGAGCTTTAAGAGCGTTGGAAAAGGAAGTTTATCAAGATCTATTTCACCTTGCTGAATCAGTTGTGTTCATTCCACTCTAAATAATTACAAAGGCAGGAAGATTCGCCTTAATTTGCCGTAAACACGTACCGCTATAACGCTAAATAATCACAGAAAGATGTTCTCTTGAGTTCGGGTGAAGGAAAATTTCGTCATTTTGTTTACGATTTCGACAAAGTTCTTCGATCATTGTAAATTTCGTTCCAACCATACGTGGCCGTCAAAGTTGCCGTCAAAGTTGCCGCCAGATTGTTTTTTTTTAAGATTTCGCGACGTTAGCAATTGTTCACCAAATCAATTGAATTAAAATACCTACAATTTAACTTTCTTAAAATTTATGGACCTTTTCGAGTACTTATTATGGATTAAAAAGGTCAAATGTTTCATGTCATCGCGATTTGCAAAGCTCGGTGCATTCGGCGGGTGATATCCAGATGTTTATCAGTTGTGATGTTTAGAGATAAGAGGAAATACTTTGATAGACAAAACATACGCCTATTTTAAATTCGGAAGCTTGACTCCAGGGGGTATTTACAGCGAAAAAGGGGGAATTGAATTGTAACACGATGAAAAATATTCCTGCGGCAATTTCACTGAAAAAAAAACAAGACAAAAACGCAATGAAAGAAAACGTTATGAGAATAGAAGGCTGAAGCATTTTCGTTGTGGAAGAAGTTCATGAAGAAAACGAATCCTCATTCATTTATTGCTTCTACAAATTGTGACTGAGAGCACCAACGTTTCATCAGAAAAAGAAAGTGGTGGAATTAAGGGAAGAAACTTTCTACGTTTGTACATATTTTTGAACTGATTTTATCTTCAATGTCTGGCTAAAAATAATACTTAAATATGCCCCAGAATGCTGGAAAATATGTCACAGAGAGTTTCGCATTTCCAAATTTTTCGGGGGAGCATGCCCCCGGGCCCCCTAGAGAGGCGTGTTGCGTAGCAACACGCTGTGCTTGCTCCGCAAGCACAATTTACTTCAGCCCCCTACTCAGTTTAGATCAGACACCTATTACATTTTCTAATGACACCCCTGTATATTCATAACCTTCAACCAAAAAATCTTTCAAAATTCATGCAGAGTACTACCCTTAAGCAGGTGGATGATAATATGTTCAGGAATTGCTAAGAGATTTCTAGTAGCAGTTGAAGTCACATCTAAAGTCATATTCATAACCTTCAACCAAAAAATCTTTCAAAATTCATGCAGTTTTGATAGACCCTAAAGTTTATTAACCACCTTTAGTGCAATTTTACAAAAGATTGCATAAATTACCACTTTCAGGTTAATTTTCAGTTGGCAGTTTTGATATTATTTAATGTGTAACTGTAAAATTTGTCTATTCTGGGCTCATGAAAAATAAGATATGTTTTTCTTCTTTTTCCTTTTTAAAAAAACCAAAAATTCACAGTTGTTATTATAAAACTCTCAAAACAACTGCTTATTTTCTTTCTTAAACATGCCATACATGGGTCCAAAGTGATTTGATTACTATGTAGGCATATGTTCTGTAATGATCAGTGGTATTACATGATATGGACATGCACATGTAGAGAACACATGAGCATCGTTTTGTAAAGAGGTTGGATTTTATAAAAAAAAACTGTTATCAAAATCCATTGTGTCTTCATATAAAGAATATTACATGGTGTCAGGATTAAAACACGAAACAGAAACTCCACCATCCATCTAGCGAAATTTTGGACAAAAAACAGCCGGCGTTTCAGAGCAATTAACATCGGTGATCCAACTTCATGTCACAGGATCAGTCACTTCTCGACATGCCGGAAGAGGTAGAAAACACTGAAGAAACACAACAACCAGTGGAAATCGAAGAACACACAATTGAAATGGCGATGCACTTAAGCTTTCCACCTCCAGAACCTCTCAAGTTAAGTGGGGGAAACATCTCGGCCAACTTCAAACAGAAGTTCAAACAGAAATACGTAAATTACGAAATTGCGACCAGAATAAGCTTGAAGGATGGTGCAACCAGGGTAGCAACTCTTCTGACAGTTATCAGCAACGATGCTATTGATGTTTTCAACAATCTAACCTGGGATGAAGAAGACGATGACAAGAAAATCGATAAGGCACTGTCGAAATCTGAGCAATACTGTGAACCAAAGAAAAATGTCAGCTACAAAAGATACAAATTATTCTCAAGGGCCCAAAAAAGCGGTGAAAGTATCGAACAGTATGTAACAATACTAAAAAGCTATGCGAAACATGTAAATTTGGAACATTGAAAAATTCTCTCATCAAGGATCGAATTGTACTTGGTGTAAACAACACGAAAACAAGAGAAAGACTTCTCCGGGTGACAGACCTTACACTCAAGAAAGCAGTAGTATGATCTGCAGAGGCCACGGAAATTCAAATAAAAGAACTAGACTGTGACTAATCAGCGCATGGAATTGGAAAAGAGAAAAACAAATTTGCAGACAAAAAGACACCCTCAGCTAATGATGAAAAAAGACCTCCAAGCAAGAAGTTCAATTGCTGCAACTGTGGAACTAAACATGGTCTAAGAGAGTGTGCTGCATATGGCAAAACATGCAACTATTGTCAGAAAAGAAATCACTTCCAGAGTGTATGCAGATCACGGAAAAAAGTCCATGGACTGGATGTAGATCAACAAGATGAAGAACAAAATCTTAATTCAACCCTATTTGTAGGAGCTGTCACTACAGACCTTCAGATCTACAATGAGGAATGCTATGTGAAGCTGCCAGTAAAAGGGCATATCACAAAACTCAAGATAGACACTGGCTCTCAAGTTAACATCATGCCGTTTAAAGACCTAAAGAAGATAGTTGGTAGCAACCCACAGATAAATGCCTGCACACACAATCTAGTAAGTTACTCCGAAGACAAGCTAACTGTACTTGGCACTGCTAAACTACCAGTGAAATCTAAAACAGATGTCGAACAGGAGCTGACGTTCCACATAGTAGAAACAAATCAACCAGGAGTATTGGGGTTCACATCATCTAGAGATCTGGGTCTAATCAAAGTGATTATGGCAACCAAGAGAGAAGAAGACCAAACCAAACCAGACAGAGGAAAGGAAGTTAAGAAGCTGTCTGAAGAACTGAAAGAAGAAATGCTGCAAAAGTACAAGCAAGTATTCACAGGTTTGGGATGTTTGGAAAACCTTACCACATTGAAATAGTACCTACTGTGACACCTGTTGTAAACCCACCTAGAACTGTCCCAGTAGCTCTTCACAACCGATTGAAGAAAGAACATGGAAAAGCGAGGGGTTGTTCGTAAGGTAGAACCCACAGACTGGGTCAACTCCATGGCCATTGTTGAAAAGCCCAATGGTAGTCTGTGGATCTGTTTAGATCCAAAGCACCTCAATAAAGCAATAAAACGGGAACACTTTCAGCCACCCACCATAGAGGACATCACTACACGTATGGCAAATGCAAAATGGTTCGCCAAGCTAGATGCTAACCAAGGATACTGGCAGATACCTCTTGACGAAGAAAGTCAACTTCTAACCACCTTCAACACACCGTTTGGGCAGCACTGTTATCAAGTCACTCCATTCAGAATCACATCTGCCCAAGAAGTTTTCCAAAAGCGGATGAGTCAACACTTCAGCGACTTGGAAGGAGTTGAAACCGACATCAATGACATAATAGTGCATGCAGAAACAGAAGAAAAACACGACCATCATCTACAAGCAGTCCTGGAACGATGTGAGAAGATTAACCTAACCCTAAACAAAGAAAAGTGCATTTTCAAAGTCAAAGAAGTCACCTACATTGGTCACAAACTCACGCAAGAGTGAATCAAACCAGATGATGAAAAGGTGCGTGCCATAAACGACATGCCTGCACCAACTGATAAGAAAGGAGTAGAAAGACTTCTTGGAACTATCAACTATCTGGGCAAGTTCATTCCCAATCTGGCAACCGTCACTGAGCCTATCAGAATTCTGCTTAGAAAGGACATTGAATTTCAGTCGTCATATGAACAAGACAAAGCACTACAAGAAATCAAAAGTATCCTAACCAAAGATGGAGGGCCAGTCTTGAGATTTTTTGATGTTAAAAAGCCTGTTACCATCAGCTGTGATGCCTCCCCAACCGGTCTAGGAGGGGTGCTGCTACAAGGGGGACGTCCTGTTGCATATGCTTCAAGATTCCTCACTAATGCTGAATCAAGATATGCTCAAATAGAAAAAGAACTCTTAGCTATTCAGTTCAGCCTAGAACGTTTCAACCAATACACCTATGGCAAGAAAGTCACCATTGAATCAGATCACAAGCCACTTGAGGCCATTGTTAAAAAGGGATTGGCATCAGCACCACCAAGACTGCAAAGAATCCTACTAAGAATGCAGAAGTATGACTATACATTGGAATACAAACCAGGAAAAGAGTTAGTACTTCCTGACATGCTCTCCAGAGCACCAGTTCCCCAGACCACTTCTGGCCGCATGGAAGAAGAAATTGCATTTCTTGTCCACCTACTAACTTCTAACTTACCAGTCTCAAAGCCAAAACTAGAAGAAATTAAAGAAGCCACAGCAAATGATCCATCAATGAAAGAGCTGAAGGAAATGATCAAATTTGGGTGGCCAGAAACAAAGTCTCACACCCCATCAAATATTCAAGTCTACTGGCATGTAAGAGATGAGCTCTCTGAAATCAATGGTATTATTCTCAAAAGTGACAGAATATTGATCCCATCTTCTATGAGAAAAGAAATGCTCCAACAAATACATCAAGGCCACATGGGGATCGAAAAATCCAAATGACGAGCAAGAGGTGTACTATACTGGCCAGGAATGAATTCTCAAATCGGCAACATGATATCAAGATGCACCACTTGCTTAGAGCATCAACAGCAAAACACAAAAGAGCCAATGATCCCTCAGCACATACCAAGCAAGCCCTGGGAAATGGTAGCCACAGACCTGTTCACATGGAACAAATCTGAATACCTGATAATTGTTGACTATCACTCAAGATATTTTGAAGTAGCCAAGCTTCCAGACACCAAAAGTACCACAATCATAACCTTCACCAAATCCATGTTCGCCAGACATGGAATACCATCTGAAGTGGTCAGTGACAATGGTCCCCAGTATTCCTCAAAAGACTTTTCGCTGTTTGCTCAACAGTGGGAATTCAAACATACTACTGTCAGTCCACAGTATCCCCAAGCCAATGGTCTTGCTGAGAAAGAAGTTCAAATAGTGAAAAATCTACTAACCAAAGCAAAGCAAGATCGCCGGGATCCCTATTTAGGACTACTTGAATACAGGAACACCCCAATAGATAACATTGGTTCACCAGCGCAACTACTCATGAGCAGACAACTCAGATCAACAATTCCCACAACTGATGCACAGCTCCAGCCTAAAGTTCTTGATTCACACAAAGTTATGGAAAAACTGAGGCTCAAACAAGATAAACAAAAGCACTATTTTGGTCAACATGCCAGACATCTCCCCACGGTAGAGAAAGGTGACCAGATCAGAGTGCAAATGGGAAGCCATTGGAAATCAGGTGTTGTAACAGATCATGCTGGAACACGGAGATCTTATAGGATTCGAACTGATGAAGGTAAAGAGTACCGTAGAAATAGAAGAGGTTTGATGAAATCACCAGAAAGCAGTCCATCAACAACTGACATCTCACCTAATACTGATTCTCCAATGGTGAGAGCTTATGAACATTCACCCTCCAAGGAAACAGCAGACCAAGCAATCCCATTTGTTGAAAAACCCACTACAACATCTCTCAACCAAGAGGAAATTGATTCATCTGAGGATGAGATCCCAGAGCCTCGCAAGACAGCAAGTGGAAGAACTGTGAGAAGGCCTCTACGTTTCAAGGATTATGTTGAGTAACAATGAACATATCTTGCGTGTTGATGTTTGATGAAACTGTGGGACCACTGTGCCAAAAATTTGTCTTAACGACGGTGTACACATTTCTAACAAGGTTAAGTTAGAGAAAATGTGGCACTTTTAATAAGTTCTTGTTTTTTATTTCGTTTTAGTGCTCAGTGTTTCTCAATTTGGTGTTAGTGTGCATACACTCTGTTGTGTTCATTTTTTCTTCTTTTCATTTTTGTTGGGGGAAGTTGTAATGATCAGCGGTATTACACATTATGGACATGCACATGTAAAGAACACATGAGTATCGTTTTGTAAAGAGGTTGGATTTTTAAATTATAAAAAAACTGTCATCAAAATCCATCGTGTTTTCGTATAAAGAATATTACATGTTCCAATCAAAAAATTAAGGCCCAGGTCAATATGATTGCTGGGAACTTGATGTTCATTGCTCTGGTGACACAATTGGTGCCAGTGCTATCCCATCCATGTAAATGAAGTAAGTACAGTTGGATGTAACAGATTTTGTAGAGCAGAAAAAAATATGGCCTTGGAAAATGTTATTGCACAGGAACAAAGGGTAGACCTTGAATGTGCTTGAGTAAATAATTTTATTCCCTCAGATATTGGATATGGGTTAAAAAGATCTTTTGATTTGTTTATGGCATGTAGGTCTTCCCTCAGGTTCCTCAGGTTCCACAGGTCCTCACTCTGAACCAGGGAAAAAACCTTCAATGGGTAAGGGAGAATTAGCTTTGATGCTGTTCTCAGAATTTACTAACTGTCCTTTAGGATGGCATTACTCATAGTCTGCATTGAATGTGCACTTTCAATTTTTTGCCCTCTGTTTAATCAAAAGCCTATGTCCTCCCCTTTTTTGAGACATTCTTTTGAGGACACATACATAAATGTAAAAATATGTTTTTTGCATTGGTGCTATCTCCAGTAGGATGGGGTTGGTTCCTTGCTTGAGTGTTTCATTGCCATGTTTTTCCTTTCCCTTTCCTCCTGTACCACTTTTATTTAATAAGTATACCTTTCACATACTGCTTTCCCATCACTGTGGTGAAAAGTACTTTGATTGATAGTTCATCCTTGCTAGGGTGAAGGGATTGCTATCTTGTATTTTCATTCATTCATTCATTCAAGTCATCAAAATTTCTTTAGTAAAACAGCAATGCATCAGATTACTACCCTTAAGCAGGTGGATTATCCCGATGGTTCCCAATGAAAGTGATCTTTCCAAAAAACTCCTTCAAAGCTGTTCAACACCCTCCCCCAAAAGCATATAAAACTATATATGCAAAATCTAGGAAGCTTTCAAATTATTTTTTACCCAATATACTATACACAAATTGAAATATGATAGATGTGCTTGTTTCAGTAAGATTTTGTAATCTTTTGATTTTGTAATAATATTTGTTCGCAATGTATTTTTTGATTTTGTAATTTATATGAATGGTCTGACCAAGACACCTGGTGGAATTGTTGACTAAACTATTATTATAATTATCGTCATCCTTATTAGTATTCATACAAATCAATGGTACAGATCAATCATAGATATGTATGTAAGGCATTTGTATCATTCTATTTGATAAACCATTATGTAGCCTTTTATATAGGTTTTCCTCATTCTTACCTCTCTTACCAAGGATGACATTTAAAACAATTATTTACGTGGTAATTCTGACCAATCATGGGAAAGCAATGACATTACAAGGCTAACGTTCTTCCCTCTCCAATATTATGTTTAGGGATTGCTTAGAGATTTTGAGTAGAATTTGAAGTCATAAGCCATACTTGCAGCCAAAGTAATTAGACTACTGAGTAGTTGTATGTTCCAATTGCAAAAATCAAGGCCAAGGTGAAAACTTGATGTTGATCACCAGGGCAGCACAATTGGCCCCAGTGCTATCCCATCCATGAAAAGAGAGACTTGTAAGAATGAAGAAAGAAATGTATTACTGTGCTCAAGGAATTGTTTTGATACTTTGCCAAACTATGGAAGTTTAATTGCATGGGAACAAGGGGTTGACCTTGATTATGCTGAGTAAATAACTTTTGCTCTGTCTGATGTTAGATATAGGTTGATAAAGTTTTTATTTTATTAATTTTGTTTATGTCATGCAGGTCCTCACTTTGAACCAGAGAAAAGACCTACAACAGGTTAGGGAGCTTTTGCTTTGGTGCTTTTCTTAGCATTTACCAAGAAATGACTGTCCTTTATGATGAGATTAGTTATAGTGTGCATTCAATTTGCAAATTTAATTTTTGGCCCTCGTGTCAAGCTAAGGCATGTGTCATCCTCTTTATTGGTGGGCATATATATCATGTAAAAGTAAGTGTTTTTGTGTTAGTGGTATCCCCAATAGAATGGAGGTGATTTCTCGCTTGAGCATTTGACTGCGTCATTTTTCTTTTCCCTCCTCTCCTGTACCACTTTTATTCAATGAGTTTGCTTTCCACACACTGCTTACCCTTCACTGTGGTGGAAAGTGCCCAAAGTGGACTTTGGGTGTGCGTTTTTTGTTTCCTCCTTGCAAGTGAGAGGATTGTGGCCTTGTATTTTCTTTCACTGAAGTCACTGGGAATTTCATTTCTAATTTTTTTTCAGAGGACATCTTTATGTTAACAACTCCTTATTTTGATTTTAGAAGCTCCAGAGCCTGGAAGTTTGGATGCTCATAAGGGAGGAAAACACAAAGGTGTGTTATGACAACTAAAATTTAAACTAAGAATACTATGAATCTCAATGGAAAATGAATTACTGAAGGAGGGGAGAATGACAGGCAAGAATCAGAGACGAGCGCATCTATAATTTCTTGGGCGCATGCTCCCTATCTAGAAATTGCTTTGAAACTATGAGGAAAGGAAGTGATTGAATGCTTTAAAGCATTCTCTTGTGAAACTGCCATGCCCCCCCTCCCCCACCACCCTCCTTCTGAGGTGAATTGTATTTAAATCACTCAACATTTAGTTCATAGTTGTAAACAAATTGCTAACTCCGCAGTTCACTGTTTACTTGTCTAGATGATTCATCTTTGTCTACTGCAGCCATCATTGGCATCTGTGCAGCTGGACTTATAGCCACCCTTGTGCTGATTGGTACAGTTGTTTACTGGAAGAAGTATCACCACCGTTCACGCCTGCGTGCTGCTTACTACAATGATATCTCCATGCACGACCCTCTGTATGAAGACTTTGGCCCTGAAGTTGCATAATAGAGAACAAGCATTGCTTT